AAGTATGATAAAAGTTTCTATGAGAAGAGTAGACCGAATCATCGGTTTCATATGCACATTCCGCATCCGCTGCTTGGGCGGGCTCAGATCTACCTCTTTTATCTGCACACCTTTGAGAGCACTGGCGCAACTTACTGAACGCGAGTACCATGGATCAGCGTAGGAAGGTTCATACGTAATAAGAAGGGACTCTAATGATGAGGGGTCAGAGAAAATAGAATGATATCATTGAATCTGATACTATTTCAACCAGTGAACAGTGCTGGACCCCTCCTTTCCCTCAACGGCGATGTATGTAGAATCTCTGGTGCGTACATAACTTCCAAGCAGCAGCCGCACAAAGTGCCCTGAACACAACCACTCTGGTCGTCTACGCTGCATATCGCGGCTTTGGCGAGGTGAAGGAACCCAGTTGAGTAGTTGTTCAGGTCAAGCCAACCAACTACCATCGCCACTTTAGTTATAAGGCGATACGGAGTGATGGAATGAGCCTCCATAGAGCAGAATTAACGAACTACCTCCTCACTAGATCACTTACGGTGCTGGAAGCAACGCTCATATCCGAGAAGATTGCGTCGAGCACACGCATTTTACGGCTCCATTGATCCGGTGGAGAGCGAGGGCCAGAGCTGAAACAGTACAGCAATCAAAAGCAACACGTTAATTTTTTGGAATTGATGTGGTCCGCACAGGAATCTGATGCAAGCATGAGCTTTTTCACGATTCGCAGCTAGTTTGCAGATGGCAGCACCGCCAAGGGTTAGATACGCACCAGTCTCCTGATTTGGCAGCTGAGTACGCAAACGCGCTTGGCGTTGAGTAGAGTGTGGCAGACCCTGCATCTCCGACTATAAAGGGGGGAGGGCAAAAAAAAGTTTTTCCTTGACTTTCGAGGCGCTATAAGTTACACTTTATCAAATTCTGATCGGACATTTCTACCACCATATTAAAGAGCATATTAAATACTATCATGATACTCCGCCACAGCCTTCTGGAGGAGCGCCATCGAGAGATTCTGCCACGCGACCGTGAGTGGGTGCCTGAGTTCAGCGAGATCGTTGATTTCTCCGCCACTGCTGTAGACCATCCTTTGAACTCCGCCAAACCAGGTAATTAAGGCGGTTCCTGTACAGAGTGACCTGATTAGATATTCCCATCTATCTTCAGGTACTCAACAGTCCATGGGTAGACGTCCATGCTAGGAGGGAGAGTTTCGCAGCTGTTTGTGAAAAGGAGGTGACATTGAATTTCTAAAGGTCTTCTCCAGTAGAGGCCGCACTGGCGACTTCATATTTTTGGTGTACATGAAGTCTTGTAGTCGATGAGCCAGCTCCTGCTAAGGAACATCTTGGGTATCTTCCGCCCTGGTACTCGTATCCACGTCCTCTGTCTGGGCTGCACTAACTTTGCTGATATGTCGCTCGGTCGAAATGTCCTTTTTTTGCCCCGCCCCCTGTAAACGCTGCCTGAAAGCAGGAAACGTTTGAGAAAAGACAGTAGCGCGATTAGCCCTCCAGACAAGAGGCGCGCTGTCTGAGAAGGTATCATGCAGACGTCTACGGGAAGGTCCTAGAATTTTCGTTTTCCGATATAGTCGAATTAGCAGCGGTCCATTGAACGACCTTGGTGGTCCGCAGTCGCGCGAATCCCAAATTGCTCGACTGATTTGCCGTGTCGCGAAGCATGAACACTCCCAACGATGGTAATTGAGATAAAGCTTGTGTATTGGTGTGCTGAAAATACCTGTTTGGCAAATTTGACGTCTGCGGATCGTCCTCAAGAGGGGTACGACTCTAAAGTTCATCGATAAGTCAGGATTATAAGAGCTCAAAACAGAAGTCATGACCACTGTAACGAAGAGGGCGTGAAGGGGGCATGAGTAGGACAGTTTTTCATCAAGAGATGCCGTCCTGAGCCGGAGAAGGCTACCATGGCTGCGCTCCAATTACTCCCTGCACGTGCCCTTCTGCTTGCAGGGGTAATGGCAGTGTCGCTCTCAGCGTATCAGACACACCTGTGCTGGACTCCTTTTCTTGGAACCTCGCCTGAAAACAACAAAAGAAATTGAACTGTGACGTGCATCAGCACGTGCAGACTTATGTGTAGAATTTACCTATTGACGAACGTCAGGGAACTCTTTCTGCCGAGTTGACGGGGTGTGCGAGGACGACTTGACGTTCTACATCCGCTAAACAAGCATTAATCAGAAAAGTATCAACACTCAATATACAGTCCCAGGATCATGGCTCCAGGAGAGGGCGTGGCTACGGAATCAGTGGACGCGTGTAATTGCCTGTTCAGTAAGAGACGCGTCATGGGCGGGACAACAACCTTCCGTCTTCATTTTGGAGCGACCTGGTAACAGCATTGCTCACAGTGGCCTGCCCCTTCCTGATGCCGTGGTAAGGTTGCGATTGAAACTTATTACTCCACTCGCTGTTTTCAAAGTTCCGCTACAGAACTTCCGGATGTAGCTAGTTGGGAGGGATCACGCCCTACGCCATGTTATTTCAGCTTGTCTGCAGAAAGTGGACATTGCGGATACCTATTCTATGGCTTCAACTAGACGTAGCAAGACGCGACACGCAAAGTCGCGCCGCAGCGTTACCTACTTCAACCACGCAAAAAATTTGCCCAAGAAATTCTCTGAATTTCCCTACCTTTGCCCTTTCTGATCACAAGAACTCTTTGACGAAGGTTGATTTGTACAAGCACTCTGTTGAGATGCTGCTGGTTTGTCTCGCTTTTCTCTAGCTCTTTGGCGAGCCAATATCTAAAGAGAACGGTTTAAGAAGAGATCAAGCTAGTCCTGCACCGTTACACATACATGGCTTTCATAAGCCCGTCGAGCATAAGCTTCTGGTAGATATGAGTAAAGAGTGGCATAGACGCAATCGAAATTGCTGCATCCTTTCGTTCCTGAAACACATGTGGTTGTTCTCTGCCATAGACTGTATGTTCGCTCCGGGACCTTGGTATCGACGCAATTGCTGGACGTCTCATGGAGGGGAGGGGGGGGGAGTCCAAAAGAGCATGGAGCTATTACTATTCAGCCTCATTTCCGCGAGTTTCCGAGTGACAAAAGTGTCACATTTGTGAATCTACCAACCTTTTCTACAACACTTGGAAAGGAGCGTCTTGGGGTGACCGTCCTCGGGTATAGGGTGCATACGTAGCACGGTGGAATATTAAAATCCCGAGCAGGGGCTGCATAGCGCCTTTTCCAATCAAAGGCGCCATTACAGCGCCCAAACAAGGTGCAACATGAAGATCCGAACGCCCACTGCAAGCGCACGCCCACAAATGGCCGGACAGTCACATCGACGCCGGTACTCTTATCGCTTCATTTATAAAATGGAGTTGATACGAAGTATTGCCACATAGATATATGAGCAGATATGTGCAGCCGTATCTATTAAAGCGCGATGTCAACGGGGAACTCGTCCAAAAATGCTCGTCCATTGTCGTGCAGAGCAGAGGCTTTTTCGCCAGTTTTTTTCTGTTCAACGTCGCTATTCCATCACGTGCCCACTACGTAGCACCCTAGCTACTATTTTTGAGCAAATCATGCTAAAACTCTTCCCGTTTGGAACGAATTCTCACCACACCTCTGCAAATTGACCACGCCCAGCAGAATGCGATACATATTTCTTTCTCAGAACACAATTTCCCCTTCACACCCAACCTTTTGTTCATGATATGTAAAAATATTCCGAAATCACTATTGGACATACCATCTTCATTATAGACAAGTCCATGACATATATCACAGAGAAAATGTCCACATCTCCCCAAGGCTTCCAAAGCTTCTGGAGGATACTTATGACCACAAGGTCCGTCGCATCTGACCTGTTCTAAAAAGGGAAAAAGATGAAAGATAACACCTCTCCTTCTATTCTATAAAGCAGTAACTTTGTGGGTCGGTTTGTCGGTCAGTATATGTGTATGTAAGTATGTATATTTGTCCGTCGCAAAATGCTTCACGGGTTCGAATAGGTTTAGTGGGAGGGGAATGCGACTGCTAGACAAACCGGAAACCGATTGGTGCAGATGTCAACCCAATGTTTAATTGTATAACAGCACCCCTGCATATGAGACAACTATTCCGGTACACTGCGAGCCATTGCTCGAGCTGCTGGCAGCTAGACGTGTGCTCGTGCGGGAGCAGGGTTGAGTGGAAGGGAAGGGTACCAAGTGACCCCTCTCCTCTGCCTCCTGTCCTTGCACGTGCTCAGCCGGGCCTGAGCGCGTAGCGGAGGGAAACGTGGGAAGAGGTTGGGTGAGGGGTACGCTGAGGGGTGTGTTGGCGCACCGCTGCAGTAGGAAACCATGCTAGACAGGGAGGATAACAACTCTAGCAACTGCCAGGTAATCCATAACAAGTAACTAACCAAACTATGGTGCTGTTTTGATTGTGATACCCTCACTATACTAGACAACCATTTTGTACCTTCCGAGTCATTGCACAAGCAGCTCGCATGGCAGCTGAACGTGAGATCGAGCGTGCGGCTGCCTATTATATTCGAATAGAAATTAGGCATTATGAGCAGCCAAGAAAATGAACAAATTCCGTTTCCATTATGAAGTACGCCTGGCGAAGCCAAGCCAGCTAAGGAGGAAGGAGGAGAGCTCGGCGTCAGCCGGGCGATGCGACTCATATGTCATAAAAGAAGCTAAATTTCACTGTCGGCGGGCTTTCTGCGCGCATCTGTATGGTTAACGGTAGCAGAGCTAAAGACCGCTGCACTTCAATTTTGGAAAACAACGCTTAAGTTGTTCCGTTTTCGAGATATCACCTGTCTCTTCCTGTTACCCTTATTGACGATCAAATGCTAGTGGCCCCGACTACTGAAAATACTTGCGAGCTGGGATAAATGTTGCCTGGCGCACGATTCGGGCACGGCAGATTGCTGAGGGCAGATCGGCTGTAGGCCTCCCATGCTGGAGGGAAGAGGGGCTTGGTCGTACTAAGACAAACTCTTGGGGAAGGGGTGTTATTTGAACGAGCCTTTGCACAACGCGATGCTGTGTGCCCTGGCTAGAGTGGTGGCAGTTTAGTGCGCAAAGGGTATAAACCACAAGATTTGCTGATTCCCTCTAACACCCGATGCGCCCTACTGGATATCCCCGCAGGGAGGGCAATGGGTCTTAGTTAATACCGAGCGTAATAGGGAGCAAGGACAAGGGAAGTACCAGCCGCAAACCCTTCTCTATTCTCCATGCCCTTCAAGAACGGGTGATCACAAATCTGTACTATCCTATTCTCCTACACCCCAAAGGAAAAAACGGCCGGCTTCGATTGATGCCCGTCCTGAGATGTGCTCCCATCTATCGGCACTGTAGCAATATTAGCAGCAGCGCGAAAACGCGCGTCATCGCGATGTCAGAGCGCAACCTTAGGAAGGAAAGAATGATTGTTTTGGCGTTCCTCCATAATGGAAAAGGTTTCTTTGAACCTTCAGATTATATATATAGTTACCATTTGGCTTAGCCTTACACACCCAGTTTTGTAAATTGTCAATCACTTGTGAGTCTTCGTCAATGGGCCTGAAATCCTTATTTTCCTCATTGTTATACCTTTTATGAAAAACTGAACAGAGTTGACTCAAGTTTTCGAAAGAAAAATAATATCAGTAATAATATTCAACGAAATGGATCAGAGGGTGCCCCTACACTCCCGACTCAGGAAAATGCGAGATTTTGTTAGCTTGGGGTACTCGATCCGAGATTACTGCTGTGCGTGTGGACTAGAGCGAGCCCAGGGCGACCTTTTTCTCCACCATGTCACACAACAATTAGTTTGGGGGGAGGGCAAAAATAGATCCAGAACTCACGCTCGAATAGATAGCTCTAGTCTATCGTCATCTTTGAAACGTTTGTCGTCACCCTTGTAACTTTGGTTGTCGTTGGACCAGGAAACGGAGTACGTAAAACGAGTTCTGAAGGAGTTCAAGTATCAGTCATAGATAAGGCGAACCCCGTCAAGTACATTTTGACCTAACTCCCCGATCTACAGCATAGCTTCTACAGAGGAGTTCTCGTCCGACAGTGGGGCGATCCTACGACCACGCTGGCGAGCGAGCCGACGGTTGCGAGCATAATGGACATGTGGAAACGGCCATCGCTCGCACCCGCATAGAAATCATGCTATACAGGGGGGGGGGCAAAAAAAGACTTTTTTCTTCCTCGACTTTCGAGGCGCTATAAGTTACACTTTATTAAATTCTTATCGGACATTTCTACCACCATATTAAAGAGCATATCAAATACTATCATGATACTCCGCCACAGCCTTCTGGAGGAGCGCCATCGAGAGATTCTGCCACGCGACCGTGGTGCCTGAGATCAGCGAGATAGTCGATTTCTCCGCCACCGTAGACCACCCTATTGAACTCCGCCCGAACCAGGTAATTGAGGGGGTTTAGGTCAGGTTACCTGCTTAGATATTCCACCTTCTTCAGGTACTCAACGCCCTTCCATTCCAAGTAGGCAAGAGTTTTTCCAACGCCCTTCGATTCCATGTGGTGGCACCCAATGCTGTAGCAGTACAAAGTTTCCAAGAAGGTACGGGCGACGACATGTGAGGAGGATATTCTTCACGAGTTGCTCAATGTAACCGCCAGCGCTCACCTTTAGTCCGGGGCCCACGAAGAAAATATCGGTCTCTCCATTCCAGGTACGTCCGGTCCCCACCATCAACTGGCGCCTTGGCGACTGAGGTGAAGATGATGTCCTAGACCGTAGCGACGTTGACGGAGCTGCTCGATGATGGAGGTCTTCCAGATCGAGAGTACTGCTCTCCAGGTAGCTATTTATGGGTGACTCCATACTAGAAGTTTCGCAGCTGTTTGGAGGAGGTGACATGAATTCCGAAGGTCTTCTCCAGTCAGGTTGCGGCTGGAGATGACTTCATATTTTGGTGTACAAAGGTGATGGGCGAGAGCCAGCTCCTGCTTATAGAGGAACATCTTGGGTATCTTCCGCCCTGGTACTCGTATCCACGTCCTCTGTCTGGGCTGCGAAAACTTTGCTGATATGTGACTCGGTCGAATGTCTTTTTTTGCCCCCCCCCCTGTATATTGAAGCAGGTGTGCTACTGAAGTGGTCTAATGTGGATTCAGCGGCTAAGACTATCGGTGGGGATTTACAGCCCTAATTCTCCATGCCATCTGAGGTGGCTGGATATCTTCTGCACATTTGTATGGGCAAGTCTGCCAATCTGGGGGACTTGAAGGTCTAATTCTGCACAGCTGTGAATGCTCTTCTGCAGAATCCACTGGTGCAAATCCCCTGCCCCCACCATGCTCCTTCCCTCCTAAGCTTAAAAATCTTCATCTACATTACGGCAGTTTCAGCTTCGCCCACGTGCTTCAAAGAGCGTCTCATGTAGCCGACCCGCATCCATGTACGCATCACCAGTTTGGACGACGTGCGCTCCTGCGAGCATCGCATGTTCGGCGCCTGTGGAGTTGATCAGTAACAGTACATCTGTCTGTACCGGCCCCAATATCCAACCAAGTAATTGACCTAACCTCCTTTTCTTGAGAATTTACATATTTCTCACTATTTCCTCTCATGAATGACCATTTTGGCTGATGTACCCTGTCACATTCGGTAGTGCTCACTGAGTTGGAGCAGCTGTCGGGACATCGAATCCTACGGCTACTACTGAATCCTCTCTTTTTGCATTATTCTACGCTGACTCCAAAATACCTTCACATCCCAAGCAACCCTTTGGACTAGTCGCAGACGCTTCCCCCATAGATCCTCTGCCCTGAAAGGATCCTCCCGCGTGCACCCTCTGCATCCCGCAGTAGGGCCGCTCCGTCGGTACTCATTAGTTGATGGATAGTGATAAAAGTGTCAGTGATAAAGTGATCTGCTCATAAAATCTTTAAAATTTTTCCAAGCCCCTAGAATCTGCTTACCACTAATTTAGCGGTCGAATATGATGCCGATCCTGATAAGGGAGCGAATGAATGGGAATGGGTTGCGCTTCGAAAATCGAAAGATATCTTCACACTCTACTTGTTAGCCTTGTAGTGTAGTGAATTTTGAGTGCAAACCCCTATCTGCTTCTATCTGTTGTCACGTCCTGTCAATGTTGATGTTCCCCCCCCCCTTGTACTCCGACCCACTACATCTTTTCTTGAAATCAGCGCGTGCTGCTGCCACTCAGCAACCTTTTCTTCCAGAACCTATCAACGGATCTCAGCAATTACTACTATGTCCTGTCATGACCTTCACTTTCTTAGGGTTCCTTTTAAACCATACCAGTTCTTACTACTTCCTGCAATAGAGGAACAGTAATCCTGCCTTGCCGCTATATAACACCGAAAAACCAAAGATACTACAGCTACCGGCATTATGGTCTTCGAAACAGAAGCACACGCACGCACTAACCCTAACCCACCCGTTTACTTTCGCTTATGAACTGGGGGTCTAATCCGACCGGTGAACTAAGTGGATATCAGTGGAATGGTGGTTGTTTACGGTGTGGGATGAGCAGCAGCAAATACTCGCTGATATTGATTGCTTTTGATTAGCAGCATCGGTGAGTACCATTCGAAGCATTTTACATGTGTGTGAGGGTGCACTTGCAAAAGTAGTGTTCCTTAGGGGTGGGGAAGGCGAACTCGTAGCGGTAGCAAACTTCAGTGCAGCTGATGCATGAGTTGTGAGGGCGTTTCACCTGCTGATGTGGCGTGTTGCTTCG